GTGCGGATGCTGACAACGACGGCGGCACGGCCAGTGACGGCGACGATGCTGATCGCGCAGACGACGGTGACGGCGTCCTCGCGTCGGTGATGAACGTTTTAAAGGGAGTTCGACATGCGCGCGGCCGACGCGCGAGACTGGCCCGCATGGTATTATTTGAAAAGGATCGTGCCGCCCCCCCCCACGCACGCGCGCAAAGGCGCTCGAATGAGGTCGACATGCGGCGCGACAAGCTTGTTTTGCAGAGTTTGGTGCACATGCAGGATAATCCGCAAGAGCGCAAGCCCAGGATTTCAAGCATTAGCCAGGCGAAGGACCCAACCGCGTGCAGCTGTGAATGCCGCATCTTTGAATGTTGTCTTCGGTGGAGCTCCCTATGAAGACACGAACCGCATGAAGGATGTGTCAAAGTGGGATGGCGGTGCCGCGCGGGCGCTGCCACTGGGGTTTTCGGTGGAACTCCCTATAGGGCCTTCGGCGTGGCTCCCTCTGTCCCGGATCTGTTTGCTGTGGGATAGCGAGACAAACTATACGGTCCAATATGGCCCTTCCCTTATTTTCCTTCTCCTTTTGTGCCCGCGCACTCCAAAACCCAAGACTGAGGGCGCAGCGCAGCGCGGAGTTCCCGCGACATGCGCGGGGTCGCCCCGAATGGGTCCCAGCGACGCGCGCGGGTCGTCCGCTGCGCGGAGCGAAAAGAGCTAGCTTGCTGGCCGATTGCGGGCAAAACTCTGGCTGCTGGGCAGAACGACGACAGGCAAGCGAAACGCTGGGCAAGCGCAGCATGGAATTCCCGCGGCGCGCTGGTCGTTCCCGAGCCGCATGCGAGTTCCGCCACTGGGACCTTCGGTGGAGCTCCCTATGGGGCCACGAAGCGCTGCACTGGGCGCAAGAACCGCATGCGAATCCTGCCACTGGGACCTTTGCCGGAGCTCCATACGGGGCCGCAAAACATCGCACTGGGCGCGGGAAACGCATGCGAGTTTCGCCAGGGGGACCTTCGGTGGAACTCCCTACAAGGCCACGAAACACCGCGCTAGGCGCAGGAATCGCATGCGCGTTCCGCCACTGGGACCTTCGGTGGAGCTCCCTATGGGGCCACGAAACACCGCACTGGGCGCAGGAACCGCATGCGAGTTCTGCCACGGGGACCTTCGGTGGAACTCCTTATGGGGCCACGAAGCGCTGCACTGGGCGCAAGAATCGCATGCGAATCCCGCCGCTGGGACCTTCACTGGAGCTCCCTGCGGGGCCGCGAGAAACCGCGCTGGGCGCTGGGACCACATGCAAGTTCCACCATTGGGACCTTCGGTGGAGCTCCCTATGGGGTCACGAAGGGCGCAGGAACCGCATGCGAGTCCCGCCACTGATACCTTCGGTGGAGCTCCCTACGAAGCCACGAAGAGCTGCGCCGGGTGGGGGAAACGCAGGGGAGAGGGATGAGGGATGAGGAGGAACGCAGGGCGCTGCCTCTTCAAAACGAGGACCCAACGCCACAGGATGGTTGGAAAAAACCTTGCCTGGCGAAGGGCCCAGCCGCGTGCAGATTTGAGCTCCGCATCTGTGAATAGCGTCTTCGGTGGAGCTTCTCGTGGGGGCGCGAACCGTGTGAAAGGGTGCGCCAATGTGGAATGGCGGCGGCGCGCGGTCGCCGCCGCTGCGGGTTTCGGCGGGGCTTCCTATCGGGCCTTCGGCTTGGCTCCCTTCTGTCCGTGATCTGTTTGGTGGGGGGTAGCGAGAAAAGCTAAACCGTCCAAGATCGTCCTTTCTTTTTTTTCCTCCCTCCACGCTCGCGCCGCGGGCGCAACGCGGCGCGGGGCCCCCGCGACGCGCGCCGGTCTCCCCGAAGGCAGCGACGCGCGCTGATCGTCCGCTGCGCGGAGCGGAGAGAGCTAGCTTGCTGGCCGATTGCGGGCAAGGCTTTGGCTGCTGGGCAGAGCGACAATAGGCGAGCGAAGCGCTGGGCACAGCGCAGCGCGGGAGTTCCCGCGACGCGCGCTGGCGCGACGCGCGCTGGTTGCTCCGAGAAGGCCTCAGCGACGCGCGCGGGACGACAGCGGCGCAGGCCTAAACAGTCAAACCGTCTCGGGCGGGCCGCTCTCCTGGTCAGGCCTCGCGGATAAACTCGGTGAAGCCCGGCTCCCTGGCGAGGGCCGTCGCCTCCCTCCGGCACTGCTTCGCACGCGCCGCGAACTGCTCCAGCTGCTGCCGCAAGCCCGCCAGCGGCCCTGCCGGGAAGAACTCGATCCGCGGCGCCCGCGTAAGCAAGAGGTCCTCGTGGCGCGTGGCGCGCGAAAGCAGCGCGTGGAGCCCTGGCCGCCAGTCGTCGTCCTCTTTCTTGCCGTTCACGACCTAATATGGCGGCCGCAGCCCAGGATGGCGCCTGGGCGACGTCGGCCGAGGGAGCGGCGCGCCAGACAGCCGACGGCCCGGGGCGAGACCCTACAGGATCGAAAGAAGGTCTGGCTGCGGACCGCTCGGGCTCAGGCTATGGGGCCACGTAGCGCGTGAAAGGTGCGCTCCCTATGGGGCCATGAAGCGCTGCGCTGGGCGCAGGAACCGCGTGCGAGTTCCGCCGCTGGGACCTTCGGTGGAGCTCTCTATGCGGCCACGACGCGCTTCACTGGGCGCAGGAACCTCATGCGACTTCCGCCGCAGGGACCTCCAGTGGAGCTCCCTATGAGGCCGCGAAGCGCTGTGCCGGGCGCAGGAACCGCATGCGACTTCCGCAATTGGGACCTTCGGTGGAGCTCCCTGCGCTGCACTGCGCGCAGGAAGCGCATGCGAGTTCCGCCACAGGGGCTTTCGGTGGAGCTCCCAATGGGGCAACGAAGCACCGCAGTGGGCGCAGGAATCGCATGCGAGTTCCGCCGCTGGGACCTTCGGTGGAACTCCCTATGGGGCCACGAAACACCGCTTTGGGCGCACGAACCGCATGCGAGATCCGCCGCTGGGACCTTCGGTGGGCCTCCCACTGGGGCCACGAAGCGTTGCGCTGGGCGCATGAACCGCATGCGAGCTCAACCGCTGGGACCTTCGGTGGAGCTCCCTATGGGGTCACGAAGCAATGTACTGGGCACAAGAAGAGCATGCGAGTTCCGCCACGGGGACCTTCAGTGGAGTTTCATGTGGAGGCACGAAGAGCTGTACTGGGCGGTAGAGTCGCATGCGGACTGCGGAGGAGGGAGGAGGGAGGAGGGGGAGGAGGAAGGAAGGAAGGAACGCGGGGCGCTGTCTCCTCGAACCGAGGACCCAACACCACAGGATAGTTGGGAAAACTGATGTTGCAAAACCATGTGTTTTCAACATGTTCTCGGGGCGCTCGCTTTTGAAATCCTTACGACACCGAAGGTCATTGAAGGCTTTCGGCATACGCGCGCGACGGCGCGTGTGTGCAAGGGATTCTTGCGACAGCACGCGCGCAAGGGCATTCGAACAATTTCGACACGCGCGCGAGAGGCCAATTTGGAAGCATGTCATGAACATGTTGAAAAAACCGATGGCTTCTTCAGAATTCGCCACAGCGCGAGCGATAACTTTCTTGGAAACCTGGTGTTGTGAAACCATGTATACATGTACGTAAACTAGAACCATCGCGCGCTTTGCGCGCGCTTAAGTTCTAGCTGGTCGAGTGCTGACCGCATTGAAACAACAAGGCGGTCATGAATAATGACGTGAACATTCTCAATTTCCTCCTGCCTCTTCCTCATTCCTCCTCCTCCGCTCTCATCGACCGGTCGACTGGTGATCTGTCACCAAGCTATGGGCCAAAAAGAATCCAGCGCTACAGCGCCATGTTGCACTATGATGTGACATGTCAAGACACGCCATGCTACGCGATAAAACGTAACGCCACCATGCAGTATACAATGTAATAGCGTGGTATACTCTACAGTGCGAATTGCATGCCATGCCATGCTGTGCTGTGACATGTGATGATCATATATTTGATGATGCGCTGAGAAATTTCATGCTATGCTTCATGTGAAGTGCGATGCTGCCGCGTTACATGGTATGCACAGACACGGCATGCCAGGCTATGCAACGCAACGCAATGCTATGCCATGTTATGAGCTGCTAGGCTAAAGCAGTCAAGACGCAAGTAAGAGCAACAACGGGGGTGCGATATTTTTTTGTGATTTCGGTTTACTGTTGCGCAGAGCAGTACGGTGCTGTTCGATTAATTTTTGCGCATTGGAATGCCATAATACGCCACGATTTGTCATGATATGCAATGCCATGCTAGGCAATGTTACGTCGTGACGTGCAGTGCTAGGCTCAGGTAGACACTGCTATGTAATGTAAAGCTATGGCATGCTGAACCATACTGTGATATGCACTGACACGGTCAGCTCTGTCGTGCTGTGCCGTGCCATGTCATGTCACGCAACGCTGCGATGCCACGATCGGCCAGGCGGTCCTTTGCTATGCACCGGTATGTTTTGGAGGCCTCTTGGGGGCCGTTTGGGGTGCTCTTGGGGTCTCTTTTTGGGGCTTTTTGGGGCCTCGTGGGGCATCTAGAGGGCCTCCAGGGGGCCTCTACGGGACCTCGTGGGCTCTGTTGGGGGCCTCTACGGGCCTCCTGGAGGCCTCTTGGGGCGGAAGGCTCGCATTGTCGGTTCGTGTTCCCCCTCTTGGGCCCCTCTTGGGGCTGTCTTGGGGCCCTCTTTGGCGATCTTGGGCCTTGGGCGCCTCTGGGGCCGTCTTGGGGCAATCTTGGGCCGTCTTGGGGCTCTCTTGCGCCGTCGTGGCGCCCCCTTTGGGTGACTTTTGGGCCGTCTTGAGCTGACTTCTGGGGCCTCGTGGGCTGTCTTGGACCGTCGGAAGCACGAAACAACGAGAACACGAAAAACCTTCCAAAACCCTAGAAACAAAAACTACTTCTTCCCCCTCCTGAGTGCCTCGTCGGAGTCCTTTTGAGGGCATCTTGACCGTCTTCAAGCCCTCTTGGGCTGTCTTCGAGCCATGCTGAACATTTTTTTTTTTTTTTTTTTTTTTTTTTCTCTCTTTCCGTTGACACCCAGTGTCCGCAGGCTGTGGTGGCAACAGACACCAGCCCCAGAAAAGAACAGGCTGGTGGTGGAAGAAAACCCTTGCACCCCACCAGCCCCAGAAAAGATCAGGCTGATGGTGGCGCGGCAACTGTACAGTGTGGTTGCACAGACGACGAACTACTGTAAGACGCCCTCGCCGAACATCGAAAATGAAACAACTCAGAATGGGCCTCAGGGGGCAACATGGTGGCACTAGACACCAACCCCAGAAAAGAACAGGCTGATGGTGGCGCGTCACCCGTGCACAATGGTGGCACAAACGAAAAACTGAAAACTGAACTTGAAACATCTGCTCGGCATATGAGATTGAGATCACACTAGATTGGTCCGCGCGACGATTCTTTTTCAATGAAAGATGCAGGTCGCATTGCCGACAACGAGACAATATTGAACCGCACAACTGTCTCAAGCCTTGCAACCGCGAGGGTACGGCCATCGGAGGCGAGGGATCCATGGAGTGAGGGAGTGGCGAACCTTCCCGAACTCCGTCGGGATCAAAATCTCAAGATACCACGTGTGAGGCCGCACGGACTCGAGATGCAACGGTTGTCGCCGTTGCCGTAGCCCTTCGACGGACGACGCAGACCCACCAAGCAATTCTTGCACCATTTGTAAACGGAAGGGGGAGTCCGTGCTTTTGGCCTCGTCGGGCCTTCCGGCGAAACTGCGGCCAGGCAAAGTGCCCGCCAAATGATCAAGCCATCCGCTGAGTGGGGTCCTTCTCTGGAATGCTATGCAGAAATCGTGGCAGTCTGTACAGGTGGAGCGTGAGAGCTCAAAATTTGCCTTGAAGCCTCCGGCATTTGGCAATTGTGATAGAGATTCAGCGCCGACGTGGCCCTGCGAACTTGGACACAATGAAGGCCCCCAGTCAACCTTTGTATTACACGATCGCCCATCGAGCCGTAAGGCTCCGAGGCGCGTGGATCGAACTGACGACGATGGGGAATCCGTCGTGGCCGACCTCGAAAACGCACCCGCTGAGCACGGTCCGCGTGCGCTCGCGACTGCGGGCGGAACGCGGAACCGCACCATGGACATGAGATTTGCGGGCCTTCGATGCGCCAACGGATATGCCAACGCGACCGGGCACTCCGTCAAAGGCAGCCGCGGAGGCCATGGTGCCGCAACCATAAGCCTGTATCGACGAAACGGGCTCTGAGCCGGTATTCTTCAACTGCTGCTCCTGACAGTGAGGCGCCTTCTGCGGATCAGCATCGTTCGACTGGCTCCCCTGTGTGGCTGTCAGTCAGTGGTTCGTCGCGTTGCGCTCCTGTTGCTGTGGCGATGTGCAAGCACGAACTTGTGAAACAAAAAAACTACACGGACTGCGCGGCAGTCCCCGCCCTACGCGGCGCGCTCCAGCGCCTCAGCCCACCACCTCGCGAGCGCCCTCAGTCCGACGACGATGCCGAGCCTGAACTGCCTCGCGGGACGCCTTCCACGGCAGAGCAGATCGCGCCCATGCTGAACAAATTTTGAAACGCTCTTGTGCGGTCTTGGGCTCTCTTGGAGCGCTCTTGGACCATCTTGGCGCCCTCTTGGACGTCTCTCGGCCCCCTTTGACGTTTTTTGGCGCCCCTCGCCAGGCCCGAAACGGCCGGAAGGCGAATCAGTGCACTTTGGGGGCCCCGGGACCCCCTACCCATTTACATAAATTCTAGTGGCCGTTACTCCACGTTGTGTGGCCATCGGGTCCGCTCTCCCTCCGCGACAGTATGCCGCAGTCATGCGTGGGCGTCCATGTAGCGCAGATTCGGTGCAAATCAGGCACTTCTCACGTGCAGAAGGCTGAAAATGGGCGGATATGCAAGATGCACGGGACATGCCAAGGGAGGAGAGGACGAACAAACTTTGGCCAATTCGTGCAACAAGCTTGTTCCACGGAAAGCGTTCCGGAACGAGCTCGTATCCTTCGTCATTTTCGACTCGGGAAGTTGGCACCGCCGCGAACTTGCGAGGCATTAGAAACCCCCGCAGGTCACCGGACAATCCCCAGGACACCCTGGACAGCTGGACCCCCCAGACACCCTGGGCGCCCCAGACAATCCCCGGACACCCCCGGGACACCCTGGACTCCCTGGACACCCCAGACACGCCGGACACCCCGGAGACCCCGGACACCGCGGACACCCCGGACACCCTTGACACCCTGGACACCCCAGACACCCCGTACACCCTGGACACTCCGGGCATGCCGGACACTATCATCAACACTCATATCATAAACTTCCTCCTCCACATGACCACCACCATCAACAGCATCAGTAGCAGAATCATTACCTATACGACCACCCTGCGGGTGATAAGGAGGTTGTGGGGGGGTGGGGGGAGGGGGGTGGCTCATGACGACAACTGTGTTGAACGTGGTACTGATGGGCGATGATGGTGTGGGTGACGTGGCGGATTTGTTTTTTTGTTCCTTCGCTTGGGCGACTTGGGTCGCTCGGTTTGCCGCTGCGCGACGCGGCACTCAGCCGACGACGTCCCAGTCGATGATGGGTGCACTGGCAGTGTCTGGTGCGTGCGTCCGGACCTCTCCTATCCTGGCTTGGGAGTCGCGCTGGCAGTGCCTGGCGTCGACGAGCACCCTCCGCCCAGCGTCGGTGGAGACGACTGGCTGTTTGTGGCGGGCGGTGCCACTTGCTCAGCAGGGACACTGCTGCCAGTGCCGTGTTGGCCTGCACTGGCAGCGCCCACGTGATGACCATGCCTTTGTCAGGCTGGCGCGGGTCCCTGGGGCGCCATGCGAATTCCGGGTGGCTCTGAACGAACGCCTTCATGCCACCGGGTGGCAGGAGCTTGTTGAACTCGGCGTGCACACGCTCGTCGCGCGGCTCTCGGCCCGTCCACTTATGCGAAATCCAAGACGGGTCGAACTCACTGTAATGCGTCCAGAGACACTGGCTGACGAGCTCAACCAGGCGCGCGTCCGCCTCTGGCGTACCAGCTTCCGCACCGGCACCCCGCAGCCGCGCCGGGACATGCGCTGGCAGAGCCTGGTGCGCGGCTTTCGCGGTCCAGCGCCGAGAGCGACCGGCGCGCGCGTGAGTGCCTGGATGGGGAACGCGCTGGCAGAGCCTGGCCGCAGTGGGACTCCACGCGGTAATCACGCTGCGGGCTCGCGCATATGTGCCACCGCGAGTGCAGATGCCAATGGCGACTGGGGCTCCGAAAGCACTCGCCGGACTTTGCGCTGGCGTTCTTCCGACCAGTGCGGGCTGGCTGGGTCTGCGGATGACGCTGGAGGCGGAGTGGCACCTGCGGTCGCGCCATCTTGGTTCGTCCAGATGGCCTTCCACTCTGCCGCGAGACTGATGGTCAGCGCCGCTACTTCGTCCTTGGATAGCTTGGTCACGTGCTCCACCGTGCAAACCGGTCCACTGCCAGCGGGGTCGCTGCCAGAGCCTGGCGCCGATGGCTCAGTGAGCTCGACGGCAGAAACAAGGACGAGTGCCGATTCGCTGTCCAAGCGGTGCGTTAGCATCTTGGCGAAGTCGCAGTACCCCACCGGGTTCACCTTCACCGGCGTGTCGCTCAGCAAGCAGTCTGCTTGCGACGAGACCTTGACTGCCTGCTGATCCGTAGTCTTGGCGGGGTCGATGGGGTGCAACGTCGTTTCAGTCGCGCCCCTCACCAGAAGCAAGAGGCGATGTGCACCGATGAGCTGGTCATCATCCCGGCGGGTCGCCATGCCGACGAGCGGGTCGTCCACGATGCGGGGCGCTGGGACCGGAAGCGCGACCTCGCTGACCACCGTGGACAGGCCCTTGCACAAGCGCGTGGCCAGCATGGATACCTTGTCGACCAGGGGTGCGACGTGCACCTCCAGGATGTAACGCCTCGCCGCTCCCCCCTCTTCACGTAGAATGCCACGCGCGTTGCACCTGTCTTTAATGCCTGTCAGAGACTGGGCAGCCAGACCCGCGCGCACTTCGTGTGCATCGGCGCACCCGTACAGAGACGGAGCGACTTTGTCCACCACATCAAGGTCGAGCGCGCCGGTGCCATCCCGAAGGCGGCAGTTTTTGAGGAAGAGACGGCCGTCCTGCGTGCACATGGCTTCCTCTTGCAACGGTGGGTCCAAGATGCACCTATTGATCTGGAAGGTAATGGGGCCTGCCTTGGCAGCGGAATCGGCCGGCGCCACAGCGCAGGTGGGGTGCGCCGCGGGTGCTAGCTGGTTCGTCACGCCGCGACCTGGTGTGAAAATGGGCGTGAGAAGCGTGCCCTGGATAACATCTTGGCTTGTCAGAGACTGAGCCTGTTCCCCGGTGGTGGACGCATGCGCCCCTGGCCAAATGTTTACTACCTTCACCTCGGCCTACTCTTTCGTTGCAGTGGCGCCGACCACGGCAGCGCCGGTACCGGGGCTCACCTGAGCGAAATATTCCTTGGCGCGTTTGCCACGCGCCCACCGCGATCCTGCTTCCCTCCGGGTCCATGAACTCAGCATCGGCCACGTTGTACACCGTGGCCCCTTTGGTGCACTGTCTCGGTTTGCTAATGCTCAGGAACTTCCCGGAGAAGTCGAACGTCAAGCGGCTGGCAGTGCCTGGCCCTTTCAGGAGCTTCACGATGTCCGTGATGGCCAAAGGGATGTGCAGACCTCTTGCCGGGTAGTTCAGCGCCTCCTGACTCGTGGGAAGGACTCTCGTGGCGACCGTGGGCTTCGAGAGCAAGACGGTGCCCTTGACCGGGCAGCCGTTGAGCTCAGGCTTTGACTTGGTGTCGAAGGTAGGGTTTACGAGCTCCCAGACCGACTCTGCCGTGAACTTCTGAGCCGCGTTGGCCGCTGCGCCCCAATCTTTGAAATCGAAAGGCGCCAGCCCCATCACGTGTTGTTTAGGATCCGAGGACACAAGAACGCACTGGAATTTCTTCGCTTCGACTCGCTCGCCTTTGGCTTGAAACGAGTATTCGATGACCTTGGGGCCCAGAACCCTCACAAACCATTTGGCATACTTTCCGTCGTGCCGTTCATATTCTTCAGCGTCTCCACGTTTTTGGAGAGCATGGGGCTGGCAGAACCTGGCCTTCGGAGGCAGACCGCGCGCGCGCGTGGAAGACGCGGCTGGAGCGCGCGCTTCAAGATGGCTTCAGCCAGGAGGCGACCAGGCGACCACCCCGCACAAAAGGAAGAGCCCATGCAAAGGGCACTCGCGCACACGAAAGAGCAGCGCAAGTGATGGCGGCGATGGCGATGGCGATGGTGGCGGTGCCAATGTGGACGATAATGGTGACCGCCCTGCGTCGGCATCAACGACGCGCGTGACAGCGAGCAAGACGAGATAGCGACGAGGATGGTGTTGACGAAACAAGCCAAACAGGGGCAGAGGACCTCCCCCTCCTCGCCCCGCTCCTCCTCCTCCTCCCCCTCCTCCTCCTCCCCCTCCTCCCCACCCCTCCCCTCTCCTCCTTCCTCCTGCTCCTCCTGCTCCTCCTCCTTCTGCTTCTCCTCTTCTTCCTCCTCCTCCTCCTGCTCGTCCCTCCTCCCTCCCTCCTCCTCCTCCTCCTCCTCCTCCTCCTCCTCCTCCTCCTCCCCCTCTTCCTCATGCTCCTCCTCCATCTCCTCCTCCTCCTCCTCCTCCTCCGCCCCCCCCCCGCCTCTCCCGCGCGCGACGCGCGTTTTTTCTCGGCCGACCGCAGTGCTCTGTGCAGCGCGCGCGGCGCCTGGCTTGACCTGCGCTGGCAGAGCTTGGCGCTGGAGCCTGGCGCTGGCAGAGCCTGGCGCTGGCAGGGCCTGGCACCCTCTACTGGCCCATGGCCTTGAACGACTGAGAGCCGAACCAGGTGGCGGCGCTGTCTGCCTCGATGTAGATGTACAGCCGCTCAGAACGGCCGCTCTCTTTGACCTCCCCTACGGTCGGAACTGGCGCAACACCAGCGCGAGGCGGTGGCTCCGTCGGCGTCGCGCGCCAGCCCCGCCCAACAGGCGGAGCGTGCACAGAGGCCGGAGTGGAGCCGAGACTCACCGGCGTGGGCTGGCCCTCCGGGTCCTTGACCATGGGGTAAGCCCACAGGGCACGGAGCGCGGCGCTGGCAGAGCCTGGCGCGTCGCCCGCGCCCTGCAGCCTGCAGGCGCAGTCGTGGCAACGGTGCGGAGGGCGCCCCTCTGGGTTCTGCGTGAACCGCGACATGGAGGCCACGTTGGAGCACATGTGCCCGTCGACCAGCGCGGTGCGCTGATAGAGAGGACGTGCGATGACACCGGCGAACTCCTTCTGCACCATGCCTGCGCGCCCCCTGAGCACGCCGGACACGGCCGTGCCGAGAAGCGCATCAGCGTCGGCACCAGGCCAACACAGAAACGAAGGCCTCGTGAACTTGCTCAACAGACCATCCCCTGGCAGCGCCTGGGGGAACTGTTCCGTGATCCACGGTGGGGTCAGGTCCCTGAGCAGAAGAAGGTGCATGAAGTTGATGGCCTCTTTCATCATGCGCTTTGGCCCCCTCTCTTCAAGGTGCTGCGTGGTCAAACCTCTGAGGTCGATGTACTCCGCGACGAGCGCATCTTCTTTGCGAAATTGGGTCATGATCCTGTGTGCTTGCAAGGGTCCCCCCGCGACTCCGCCGGTGGTGGGCCCAGGAACTGCGCTGGCAGGGCCTGGCGCTTCGTTCGTTGACAGCTTGTCCCCCTTGAGCGCCACTATCGGGAGCCTTCGGGAGAAGGCATATATGTGCTTGGCTGTGAAGAATTTGCCGAGCTGCACGAGAAGCTCCCCGAGAGTGACGACGGGGCCCAAGCGAACCCACTCGTAGTCGGTCGCGCTGGCGCACGGCGCGACGCAACGGTAGCGCTGCGCCACCCAGTCCGGGCAGTGCGTCCGCCAGTCAACCGTGTCGGCGTTGCCGAGACGCCCCTGCAGCCCAGCGATCTGGTCCCTGATGTCTGCGAGGGCTATCTGCCCACGAGGTTGGCCGAACTCTGGCCACTGATGGGGAACTAGTTAACCCCCGCAGGTTGCCCACCAGCGACGCAGAACCACTGTGCGCTGAACCCGG